CACAAATGGGATGGTGCTTAGATTAACTTTATCCCAATTAATCCAGCAATGAGGGAGGGAAGCCAAACCTAGATTCAAGAGATTTATCTTCAGTTCTTGGGTCAGTTCTGACCGGGCCCTTTGTGTGAACCTACATTGAAAGAAAAGATGAGGAATTGATTCTTCAGCTTTGCAACACAGATGACATCTTGAAGGTCCTCTTAGTCCCTTAAGTTTGAGAATATCATCCGCAGGGAGAAGCTTGTGGAAGGTTCTCTAGATTAGAAAAGACATTGAGGGGGTGAGCTATTTGTTCCAAATAATTTTACCCCATTGCACTTCCTGCCAGCTGTACCATTTAGAATAGATTGCTTTAGAGATGCTATGAAGCTTACTAGAATTAATCACTAAGTTGTCTTGATGTTCTCTGTTGAATGGGATTTTAGTGATGCAAGCAGTAGCTGTTGGATCTGTCAAAGTCAGCAATTTTGCCACTGGCCAGGAGTCACCATTCCAGCAATCAGATATCAGCAGGTTAGGGTCAAAAATTGCTGGTCTAGGAGTGAGAAGATCTTGGGGGCACCACTGGTCAAGCCAAAAATGAATTTTGCCTTTACCAAGATCCCACAGGAAAGTGTTTTCAGCCTTTTGTCTGTTTTGAAGAAGTTTGATCCAGATGGGGGAGTCCCCCACCTTTCTTTCTACGAAGTTAGGGTGGAAGTGCGTACAGTATTTCCCCATCACGAATTTTCCCCATAAGGAATTTTGCATTCTAAACTTGAGCCAAAGTTTGCACATACTTATTTCATCTAAGCCTTTGAACCCCAAGCCTCCACCAGTGGTGGGCTTAGTAGTCTTTCGCCAGCTAGCCCAGTGTAATTGGTTCCTTTGTCTAGCCTAGAGGAATCTATTGAAGCTTCTTTCAATTAATAACTTGGTAGACTTCTTCATGTTTGTAACTTGGAGGATGTATGAAGTGAAGGATGTGAGAATGCTTTTTAACAATGTAATTCTTCCACCATTGGGGAGAAAAGAGTTTGTCCAGCAGTTGAGTTGAGCATCGATTTTAGTAATCACAACATCAAATTGTATCCTTTTGGTTCTACCTTTGATAAGTGGCACCCCAAGATAATGGAGAGGGAGGGTAGCAGTGGAGAACCCAGTAAAGTTGCCAATGCAATGTCTAGCTGCAGGATTATTAAGTTTGCTATAAAGGATTTGGCATTTAGAAGTGTTGAAGGTCATATCAGAGATATCTTCAAAGTTCTTCAAACATTTGTGTAGAAGCTAAACAACATTTTTGTTGGCTTGGGAAAATATAAATATGTCATCTACATACATCGATGTGTGACCTCCATAGTAGATGTATGGTGAAATCTGGCATAAGATTTATGTGAAATAGCTTGATTCAACATTCTGGAAAGATAGTCCAGGGCAAGGATGAAAATAGATGGGCAGAATGGATCTCCTTACTGGAACCCTCTGGTAGCAGAGAAAAAACCATGAGAGGCTCCATTTAGCAAGATGGAGTGTGAATTGAATTGTAACCATCTAGAAATGAGGGTACAAAACTCTGAAGAAGAACCTCTGGCTTTGAGAGTTTCAAGAATGAAAGGCCATTGGATAGTATCATAATCTTTACTTAGATCCATTTTGTAAATGAGATTGCCTCCTCTACAATGATGATCAATATCCAGTAGTAACTCCTGTGCCAGTAAAACATTTTTCAGAAATAGATCTGCCTTTGATAAATGCATTCTGGTTGGGTTTTATTAGGTAGTTTAAATGGGGTTGTAACCTTGCCACAATGATTTTGCTAATGAGTTTGATAAATACAGAAGTCAGACTAATAGGTCTGTATTGATTCCAGTTGAGGCAAATAGTAGTTTTGGGGATGAGGCATAGCTAGAGGAAGTAAAGTAGTTGGGGAGAGGGGTACCATTAAAGAAGCTTTGGACAACATTAACCAAATCTGCCTTGATAATGGACCAGGCTTTTTTGTAAAAAGTAGTTGTATATCCATCAGGACCAGCAACTTTTGAATTATCAATAGTATTAAGGGCCTCCCAGATTTCAGACTCAGTAGGAGTGGATGAGAGTTGAAGTTCCTGTGTATAAATAAGTTCTTCTTGAAAGAATTTAGGATCCACAGGTGTAGCAGTGAAATGAGGTGCAGTGAGAAGATTTTGAAAGTATTCAACAACATTTTTAGCAATATCCTCATAATTGTTGATCCAATAACCTTGAGCATCTTGAATCTTGTGAATGTTATTACATTTCCTTTTGTACTTGATACAAGCATGGTAATATTTAGTATTCCTGTCCCCTCCCATAATTCTATTGATTGCAGCCTTCTGTTTAAGGAACACTTCCAATCTTTCAGTGGCCAAAATAACCTTTTCAGCATTTTCCAGCAATGCAGCTTCACTA